ATAAAATCTGACCCATTTCATTACCACCAATGTAGTATTTGCCTGTATGTCCCTTTACCTGGATCATATTTTATTTTTATATATATTTATGTGTGTGTGTAAACACACTAATCTATATTGCATATATTATACATCACATATAAAATAATAATCTATAATATTATATTGCACATATATACACATTATTATATATCTAATTATAGACTGATTTGTCCTGAAAGAGACATTATTGGTCACAGAATTCAATCTCTCTGCCATGGGATAATGTTCACTTTTGGACATTAAATTCAAAAGTTTCATTGCAAAACAACAACAAAACCCCAAACCCATATAAACCAAACCAACAAACAAAAACCTCAAGATCAAGTGCCCTGACCTGTGAGTTGGAGCTGAGGGCAAATTTGGCCAATGCACTTGCTCTGGACAAATCAATCAGAAGGAGGAAGAATGGTAAAGCTTCACTGCAGAAAAAAATACAAGAGGGATATGTTAAATTTCACGCTTTGTTGTAGAGGGGAAAAAAAAACTAAGCACAAAATCCAGAGTAACAATTCATTACTTACTTTAAACCTGTCAGCTCTTTGTCCAAGAAGTGAATCACCACTGTGCTGAAAACAAAGCTGGAGAAGATTGTGAAGAGGCCAGCAATGCCTTCAAAAAACAAGGGAATGGGAGATTTTTGGGTTATGTATTGCAAGAGGAAGGAAAAAAAAAGGAAAAAAGGAAAACCACATCTCTAGACCAACCATGAATCAAACAAATGTCTATTCTTGTCTCTCAGAGTGCACTAACAGAAGTCAACACACAAACTGAAGCAACTGCTGTTTTTATATAAACATTTATATATTTACACCTAAAATTTGTGCTGCAAAGTGAGACTCAGAAATAAGAGCCATAAATAGTCTCAATTTATTTTAACCAAATTTAAATCTAGTTTAAAATTAACAAAAAATTTGCTTATTTTTAGCAAAATTAAGCAGCTCCATAATGTGTTTCACACAACCAACATGTAGTGCTGACTGTAATTCAAAATGCAATTACATTTCCAGTGTTTATATAATCCTACACAATCTCTCTTAAGTTGCACTTTGATATATGCAGAACACCTATTCTGCTTTCTAGCAAATAATTAAAACAACCCTGTGCTGAACATGAGGATCAAAATGTTAATATTTATTCTCAGTTTATGCATAAAACCCAACCATTAAAATGACACAGGGAATGCAAGAACAAGACACAGTACCTAAAATGTATTTTGATCCAAGCTGCCTTAGGTTCTGAAACTGGAAATAAATGTAAAGGATTGCTATACAGCGAGTGATTGTCAGGATGATGATGTCACTGCTCAGAACGTCCTGTCAGAAACACAAAATTACTCAGTTAGCTTTCACATTCAGTAGCAACTTGTTAAGATTCAGTAACACAAAATTCCACCATGAAGCTGCACTAAAACTGAAGCTTCTGAATAAAGTGAGTATTACCATTAAAGTACTAAACCCCTTATTCACTGGATATAATATATATAGCAGAGTACTAGAGTGTTAGTGACACCTGTCTGCAGTGCATCACTGTTTGCACACACCTTAACACCCACAACAAGACAAGAAGGCAATAAAGCAGCTTCTCCATAGCCACTTTCCTGGTAACACATCACAACCTGATCCTCTACAGAAAACTGACTATCAGCAAGTGCCACAGAACGAATTTAAACCCTTACTTCTTCCATCTTGGGGCACTCATAATTCCATCCACAGATCTTGTCATTCCCAGTGAACATCTTCATGGACATCATGCAGATGGTGAGGGTGACAGTGCCCACGATGACCTCCCAGGGGTGGGAGGCCACGAAGAGGCCATGCATTCGAAACAGTCTGGACAGCATCTTGAAGGCTCTTTTTATCTACTTAGCTAACCTGCAACAAAGGAGTATTTCATGTAAGCAAGCAGGAGATCCAAGAGGGAAAGGAAAAAAAAAAGAGACATTTCTGCAAGTCATCCTTCAGGAGAAAAAAGCACAACTACTTAAATGAGTGAGGAAGTTCATCTTCACCTTTCAGCCTTCCATGTAACAGACACCTCTTATAATATTCTGAAATATAAGACAATCTGCTCCTGCCTTCTCAATATGTTCTTTTTTACACATCTGCCTTGTCCCAAGGTCCTGCTAACAAGCCTGTACTGCTCTCACAGCATCTCTGTATCTTCCTGTCCCACAATTTTGACACCACTTTGTCTCAACTTCTTGTTTTTACCATCACTCCCCAAATTGTTACCTCTCTGTACTCACTCTTACTACCTAAAACATTGATCAACTATAGAAATTACCAATTAACCACTAATTAACATTAGCCAT